TTTTACGTAAAATTTTATAAAATTAATTGCGTCGATTTCCAATAACTCCAAAAATTCACCTAATTTTGCCGCAGTGCATCAAAATGCATGCAATGCTTATAATCGACATTTTTGAGTTTTACATATGCTACCGTTCCAATCTTCTCCAATCTTCTTAGGTAAGGGCCACCTCAACATAGCCTCTATCTTTGATTGATCGTCTGCCACCTCTTTTTTGGATTCAATATGACCCAAATACTCCACACTAACCTAGGCAAAACAACACTTCTTCAGGTTAGCTCTTGGCTGATGCTTCTGCAATAACTTCAACACCCTCCTCAGATGCTCCCAGTGCTCCTCATTTGTCCGACCATAAATTATGATATCATCAAAGAATGCTAAGATAAACCTTCGGAGGTAAAGTTTGAAAACCTTGTTCATGAGTGCCTAAAAAGTGGATGGAGCGTTGGTGAGGCCAAAATGCATCATCAGGAACTCGTAGTGCCCCTCATGAGTTCTGAAAGTTGTCTTTGGCACATCTTCCACCTTCATCCTGATCTGATGATATCCTGACTTCAGATCAATCTTCGAGTAAATCACTGCTCCACTCAACTCATTCAACAACTCATCAATCACTGGTATAGAAAACTTGTCTAGCACAGTTTCCTTATTGATTGCCCTATAATCCACACAAAACCTCCAACTCCCATATTTTTTTCTTCACCCGTAAGACTGGACTAGAGAAAGGGCTCACATTGGGTCTTATAATTCTCGCCTCCAGCGTCTCTCTAATCAACTTCTCAATCTCATCCTTCTAAAATTGAGGGTATCGGTAGGGTTTGACGCTGATGATTAACACACCTTCCCTCATGGTTATGGCGTGCTCCTGCTCCCTCGGTGGTGGCAATCCCTGAGGTGGCTGAAACACCTCCTGGAATTGATGAATCAACAGCTATATGACGAGGGGTATGTCCCCTCCCTACTCCAATCTTGCTCCCTCCAAATTGTGCAGCTTCACCAAATATCCTCCACCCAGCTCTTTTATGGTCTTGATCAAAGACTTGAGAGATACCCCAGTCTTTGACAGCCCTGCATCACCATGAATCACCTTTTTCTTCCCCCCAACCACCAGGTCCATCCTCAATGTTCCCCAATTGACCTAGTCCCTCACTTGTATCCCTAAATGGTCAACACCACTCCCCTAAAAACTCTTCTATCCATTTCCACATTTCCCGTACCCATCATTACCCCATAGCCTCCTGTATCCACTAATTTCACCCCCAGTAGATCAACAATCTGGGTGGAGATGAAATTGTGAGTTTCCCCACTATCTATCAACACTACCACCTCTCTATCAGCTATCTCTCCATTCACTTTCATAGTGTGATTCAGAGTAAATCCTACCACTGCATTTAGGGAGACTTTTGCCACATCCAGTTCAATGTTTAAAATTGCGTATTCGGGTATTGAGGCGTTTTTCATTCGTGAGGCGAGGCGTAAGCCTCAAGGCGTTTTGAGGCGTAAGCCTCAAAATCAAAAGATTGCGTAAACATAAAATGATAAATTTTTTATATACTAATGAGTGAATAATATAAAACATAAAAAAGCATAAGATATGAAGTGAAATCAAAATATCTCAATAATAAGACAACATGAAATATAGTTCCAACTCAAAATTCTATCTTTCCCAAATCCCAGTATTCTATTCATTAACATATAATTCAAATTTTCAAAAATAAATAGTAATGACATATCACATAAGAACTTAAAAGTCATCAGCACTGTCATCACTATGGGGTTCTTCATTTGAATCATCATTATGAAGAACAACTCTCTCCCCTTCCTCCTCTCATATAGAGTCCAATGTCGGGCATTTACTTCAAGATTTATGTAAATTTTAATATATATAGCGTGAGGCGTAAGCCTCATGCCAGTGAGGCGAGGCGGGCCTCAACCAAGTTGAGGCACAAGCCTCATAAAAAAAACTCGAGGCATTTTTTACTGGAATTGCGCAAAGGTGGACCTCAAGGCGAGTCTCATATTGCGCAATTTTAAACCATGATCCAGATGCAACTTCTCCTCTTCCTCCATCTCTAACCCACTCTCTCCTCCCTCTTTAGTTTCCTCATCATCACAGACGGTGAGAACCTAAAGAGTTTGGTCCTTACACCTATGTCCCGTCATGTACTTCTCATCACATCTAAAACACAACCATTTTTCCTCTTCTCATGTATCTCCTTCTCAGTCAGCCTTTTGAAATTTTCCCAATTTCCTCCTCCAGCTCTCTCCTTGGGCACTTCCTTCAGACTCCTTGGAGCTAGTTCCCTGGGAGTTAAGAAGGTGCTGGTCATCCTGTATAATCCCCCTTAGTTGCTCCTCCTTGCCCCTCTTTCTAGCTGCTTCTATTCCTCCACCAACTATGCTAGCTCTATGGCCTCCCCCAGGTCTCTTGATCTCATCGCCCTAACCGCTGCCAATATATCCAGTTTAAGCCCTTTCATAAAGTTCCCCTCTAGCACTTTCTCAGAGAGCCGGTCTAATCTGCTGGCCAAGTACTCGAACCTTTCACGGTAATCTGCCACGGTCCCCTCCTATGGCAAGACAAAAAATTACTCATAAAAGTCTCCTCCCTTACCGATTCAGAAATTTTCTAGTAAGCGCTCTTTGAACTCTCTCCAACTCCTGATGGGTTGCCTCATGTCACGCCATTGGTACCTCGCCAGTTCCTTCCCCTCCAAACACAGTCTTATCGCCGTCAGCTTCTCTTCCTTTATCAATCTGTTGAAGGCGAAATATCATTCCACCTTGTAGATCCAACCATGATCATCATCGCCATCAAAGATGGGAATCTTCAGCTTCCTCACATTCGGGTCACCCCTGTTGCCCCTGAATTCTCCATAACTTTCAATTCCACGATGAGGAGGCGCTCCCCAGTGGTTACAATCTTTTCTCCGGCAATCATACCCAACCCCTTCATCAAATTTCCCTCTTCTTCTTTCAAATTCAACACCTCTGCAGTAGAAATCCCCCCTTCTCCCTATAAAATTAGCTGCCTTTCTTTCAAAATCAGTGCTCATCTCCTCCCTAGAAAGTGGTTCTAGAGGAGGCATTTTGTCCTCACCCTCCAAGATCTCCACTTCCGGATTTTCCCTTCCCCTAAACATGTAAGTATTTCCACTTCTTCCATAGCCGCTGATGGTTTTCCTTGCTTCCGATCTCACCGGGTTGGTCTTCACTTATAGCAATTTCTTCAACATCTCTTCCATCATGGTGAACTTCCCTTCCATCCTTTCATTATTGGATGAAATCTGATTTTGAAAATCAGAAAATTTTTCCTCCAAATCTGATTTAAGTTGCCCAATTTCTCCTCCCAAAACTTCAACCTTCCCGGCCATATTTCTTCCCAAGAATCACGATAAGATCTTCTTTCAGATGAAATCTCACTGCTGAAATTTCAAAATTTCAGATAGTCCCATTACAACGCTTTGATACCGGTTTGATAGGAAATACTTGAGTTCGCAAGCAAACTTAGCAATAATTGATAAAAACAGCGGTAATAATGCAATAATCTCGATTAAATCAATCCCAAACGAAAGATTGTAATAGTGGATTCAAAGCAAAAGCAAACACTAAGCAAGATACAATTGATCCTCAATTCGAGAGGAAGATCGTTCCCTCTCAATCTCTAGATGATAAGTCTAGAGTCCATGACGCCAAAGAAAAAGAGAACAAAAGAACCCAAATCAAAGCATAACCCTAACCCTAATTCTCTCATCCTACTTAAATCAAACAATTAATTAATCAAGCAATAATTATTAATCAGCCCTTGCTAACCCCTCGTTTTCCTCCAAGGATTTTGAATTTGAACTCTTAGTGGACCCCACTCCTCTCCCTCTCTCTTTGTCGCCGCCCCTTCCTGGAGGAAACCAGGACCGGTCTAACAAATTCCAACAGTTGGATTAACATGATCGTTTCGAGAAGATTTATTGCTCAAATTTGGGTCATTGGACTATAATGGTACCATGCCAGTTTTATATCACATTGTTCATCTCTTTAGAGAGGAGTCACTGGTCATTAATGGTTCTATAAAAAAGGATTTATGGAAGTTACAATGGCTTGAAGAAGTTAAAATCTATACAATTATTTTGTATAATAATGAGCGTGGGTTGGTGTGATCAGACAACCTCGACATAATATTTGCGGTCCAGATATGCCAATGGCTGGTCTGGCGCACCCCGAACTCCCCATAAGCCAACGGTGACCTTTTCTGCCTTTCACCTTGATCTCATGTGCAAGTTACGCGTACAAGATATCTGACCAAATTGTACCAGCTTAGGCCTTTTTAAGTTCAGACTTCAGCATTTTTGGTGTCAATGGTTTTTTCACAATGCAAAAGGCCTTCTTCTATTGCTTTTGCTTCGTTTTGAATGTGTTTGGTCTCTGATTTGAATTTTTTTTTGTATAATTTGGCACTGATTCAATTTTCCAAATTGCCTTGCAATCTATACATTGCTTTGAAATTTCTGCTTGATGGATTGAGATTTTTACGATCCCAACAACTATATTGTTCAAACAAAAACTTGTGTATGACTGTCCTCATTAAATTGTTCAAAGTCGTGCTTTACCGTTTTGTAGTTTTTTGTTTTTTATGGAAAAGTTAAACAAACATGCTGAATTTTACTTGCAGTCACTGGGATCATCATTAAATTGTTCTTGATTCATGCTTGCTTGTTTAACTTTTAACTGCATGCCGTGTTTCATTAAACTCTTTCTGTGACTATAAACTTTTAGCGTCCTCCAACCCAATGTGCCTTATTTTTGAGAAAATGGTTAAATAACTTAAAGCGAGACATTGAATGTTTGGTGACTTTTTCCTTTTCCGACAGTTTTCTTCAGACTTTTTCAGTGGCCTTAAAAATTTGTCATCTACTAACCCAGTGTGCCTGTTTCTCGAGATATGAAATACTTACGTAACTTCAAGTGAGACATTGAATGATTGATGATTGTTCTCTTTGTGCCAGGTTTCAAGTAAAAAAGAAACAGTTTTTCCACAACTTCATGACAATCATTTTGTTTGGTGCAATTGGGACATTAATCTCCTTTTTCGTAATATCGGTTGGTAAGTTCTAACACTTTGTTCTTCTTCAGGTTTTTTAAAAATTAACCAGATATTTTTAAAATTAAGGTGGAATTATAAGTCTATCTGATCTTTGTTAGTCAGTTTTCAGCTTAGTTTAGATGGTTCCAGCTGAGTGAAAGTTTCAGTTCTGCATCTTGTTGTTGTCGTTTTGAAAGAATCTCTCTTGATTCACCTATGAAATTACGCGGACATCAAATGAACCCGCAGTTAAATTTATGATATACTTATAGTAAAATGTATTAGGTTTTCCAGTCTTTTGGTTATTTTATTGTACTTTTTTAATTAATAATTCATCAAAGTATTCTTGCTTTATTTATTTATTTATGTTTTTCATTCAACATCCTCTTGAGTTGTTATAGAACACGAGAAAGTTATTTGAATAGTCAATTGCATAAGAATGTTATGTAATCTAGGTTTAAAAATGAGTATTTTTTTCCTAAATTCAGTAATTTCTAGTAAACAAAATACTTTGTCTGGATAAAAGTTTCAAAATTCATGGATGCACCATGAAATTTTGATACTAATTAGAGAAAGGAATTGAACAAATATGAATGGCAATTTTATATAATTTATATAATAGTTACTTATATGTTAACAAAGATTTCGAAAGATGTTGACAAATTTAAAAAACAAAAAGAGAGAAATGCTGCAACAACAACAACAACAACAACAACATAAGCCTTTGTTCCACTACGTGGGGTCGGCTACATGAATCCTTTTTTCTCCATTATGTCCTGTTAAAAAACAAATTCTCATTTAAATCTAATAAAGAAATATCATTTCTAATATTTTCTAACCAAGTCTTTTTAGGTCTATCTCTATCTTTCTTAACAAAAGCCAAATCTAATACCTCTACTTTCCTAACCGGGTCATCGGAGCCCCATTTTATGTGACCAATCATCTAAGGCGACTCTCTCTAATACTATCTTCCACTGGAGCTACTCCAACCTTTCCACATATATGCTCATTTTGTATCATATCTCTAAGGGTAAAGCCACTCATACACCTGAGCATACTCATCTCTGCAACACTTAACTTAGTATTATGCTCTCTTTTAATGGCCACATTCGACACCATAAACATTGCAGGTCTCACCACCATCTTATAAAATTTTTTCTTAAGTTTGAGTGGGATTTTTCTATCACACAACAAGCCCGATGCATTCCTCCACTTCAATCACCCACTTGAATTCTACTGATAAATCCCCATCTATTTCACCATCACTCTGAAGAATAGAATCAAGATATCTAAGACATGTACTCTATTAATAACTTGATCACCTAAATCACAATCCCTTCACAAGATCCATTACTCTAAAATTAACCCATATATCATTTTTAGATCTACTCAAGCGAAAACCTTTAAACTCTAAGGTTGACCTCCATAATTCAAGTTAACATTTAACTCCTCTCTAGTCTTACAACAAGAAGAATATCATAGCAAAAAACCTACACCAAGGTATATCCTCTTGCAAGTGTCTAGTGAGAACATTCATGATAAAGCAAAAAAAATGGGCTAACGTCGATCCTTGATGTAATCCGACTGAAATAGGAAAATACTAGGTCAAACCACCTTGTGTTTAAACACAATAATGCTCATGCATACATATCTTTAATGATTTGAAATAAGCATTATTAACTCCTTTCTTTCAAGAACTCTCATGACACTTCTCTTGGAATTTATCATATGCTTTTTTAAATCAATAAATATCATATGTAAATCCTCCTTATTCTCTCTATATTCTCCATCAAACCTCTCAATAAATGTATGGCTCCATAGTAGACCTACCCGACATGAATCTAAATTGATTTTGAGAAACATTAGTATCACGCCGCAATCTTCGCTCCATAACTTGCTCCCATAGTTTTAAAGTATGACACATTAACTTAATTCCTCTATAATTCGCACAATCTTGTGCATCACCTTTATCTTAAAAATAGGAATTAACACATTCATTCTCCACCTTATCATCTTTTAGTCTTTAAAACAATATTAAAAAATTTAGTAAGCTAAAAATTCCTTCCATCTCCTAAGCATTTGCACACCTCTATTGAAATATCATCAGGTCCAATAACTTTTTATACTTTATTTTCTTTAAAGTCTCTTTAACTTCAGTTTTACTAATATGCGATAAAAAATAGATTTCTTTTTATTTAAAGTGTAAGGTCACTAAAATCATGTATTTCACATTCTTCATTAAAAAAATTATCACCCATACCTATAAGGCTACACCGAAACCTTCTCAATCCAAGAATGAGCTGCATTTGAAGAAATAACCTCATTGACAATCTTAGTTTCTTTGTAAGTTTCTATCTTTGATGGATTTCAATATCTCGTATATTTTTGGATGATGCAGATCAATGTTTAAAATTGTGTTCAGGTATTGAGGCGTTTTTCATTCGTGAGGCGAGGCGTAAGCCTCAAGGCGTTTTGAGACGTAAGCCTCAAAATCAAAAGATTGCGTAAACATAAAATGATAAATTTTTATATACTAATGGTGAATAATATAAAATAAAAAACATAAGATATGTAGTGAAATCAAAATATCCAATAATAAGACAACATGAAATGTAGTTCAACTCAAAATTCTATCTTTCCCAAATCCCAATAATCTTTTCATTAACATATAATTCTAATTTCCAAAAATAAATAGCAATGACATATCACATAAACTCATAAGTCATCAGCACTGTCATCACTAAGGGTTCTTCATGAATCATCATTATGATGAACGCTCTTCCCTTCCTCCTCTCCTATAGAGTCCAATGTTGGCATTTACTTCAAGATTTATGTAAGTTTAATATATATAGCGTGAGGCGTAGTTCATGCCAGTGAGGCCGAGGTGGGTCTCAAGGCGGGTCTCAAGCGGGCCTCAACCAAGTTGAGGCGCAAGCCTCATAAAAAAGACTCGAGACATAAGCATTGAGGTTTTTTACTGGAATGCGCAAAGGCGGGCCTCATATTGCGCAATTTTAAACCATGATACAGATTCTTCCTTTAGTGTCTGTGGTTTTGAGAAGTCTACCAAAAGACTTTTTGATTTCGCCCTTAACGTTGTTTTTTTTTCCCTCGCCCAATTTCATAGTCACGAATGATTTCACAGGCGTCATGTTTGGCAACTTGTCAATAAAATTTGCAGGAATTAGAGTCAATATGAATTTGTTGTTAGAAAAGAAAACTATGAGCTTTTACTTTAGGTTGATTAGTGGAAAAAGTTTTATTTCTTTTTATTATTAATTATTATTTTTGCTTTCAATAAAACCTTTCACTGGAGTGTCTCTCTGTATATTAAAAATTGATTGATTAATTTAATTAATAAAATTAATTAAAAAATAATTAATTTAAATTTATCGCTCCTAGAATTTTAAATTGCTCACAAATTTTAATTGCTCTCAGATTTTAAATGCTCTCAGATTTTTAAATTAATGAACCAACAAATTTTAATTAATTTTAATTAATTAATTTCAATTAAACAATTAATTTAAATTATCTAATTTCAACTAATTAATTAATTTTGATTAATTAATTTTAATTAACCAATTAATTTTAATTAATTAATTTCAATTAAACAATTAATTTAAATTATCTAATTTCAACTAATTAATTAATTTTGATTAATTAATTTTAATTAACCAATTAATTGTAATTAATTAATTTCAATCAATTAATTTGGTTTAATTAATTAATTCTAATTAACTAATGGATTTCCATTAATTAATAACAATCAATTGATTTATTTCAATTAGAAATTTCAATTCATTGATTAAATTTAATTAAGAAATTTTATTTTAATTAACTCATTTTAATTATTCAATTAATTTTCATTAGTTGATTAATTTTCATTAGTTAATTTTATTTTTATTACTCAATTTTAATTAAATTTAATCAGTTGGTTAATCGATTAAAATTCAAATTTAATTGCTCTCTAATTGTGTAATTTTATGAGGCAATTTTGGCAGTCTTCTGGCATCCCGTCCCCTCGCTGGGAGGTCGGGACGGCATTTTTCATTATTTCTTCCTGCCTGGATCAGAGATTGACAGCACAGGGTCTTTGAATTTTAAACCATTCTACCCGGATTAGAGATCGACGACATAGAGTTTTCAAATTTTATAACCATCCGCCCATATTAAAGATTAATGGCGAGTGTCTTCCAATTTAAAATTCTCCTGCTCTTAGTAGAGATCGATGATGCAAGTCTTCGAATTTAAAATTCTCCTGCCCATATCAGAGATCGATGGCACAGGTCTTCAAAATCGATGCATACCTATTGCTTACAATTGTTAATTTTTTATATTTAATTCTTCAAAGATCAATTAGAATAATTCTTTAAAGTAAAAACCAAAACCCATCAACTTGTTGTTTTGATTTAATTAAAGAGGAGAAGATACTTGAAGCAATTACACACAAGCAATAGACGGAGAGTTGGAAGTGACGGACGGCTTGCGTGAGCAGAGTCGTGTGAGTGTGTCGGCCTTGTGCAAACGGACAGGACACGGGCTATCCACATTATTGAAGCCAGAGAAGACGATTGGATCGAGTGCTTGCGAACGACGAAGCTGGAAGAGGTGGAAGTCTGAGTTGGAACAGACATACACAATCACGTGCGGGTAGGGCCGAACCGTGGCTGGGCTTGGTCGCGTGCTTACAATGGATCAGATAAAGGAGGTCCCGGGATCAGTAGACGCAGGCAAGCCCCTATTTGAGGTTTCACAGGGTTGGAGGTAGATTGGGACTTCGGTCCAGGATCGAGTAGATTGAGGGAGTGTGAAGTAAGGCGTTCAATTGAGTGAAAGATTCGATCGATGTGGGTAAGGCAAGCAGCAGAGAGGCTGCTCGCAGGAATTGAAGAGGTAAGCATAGGAGATTCGACAAAGGCAAATCAATGGGAGAGAGGCGGAACCGAAAGTAAGTCATCTTCTTCTTCTTTTTGTTCTGTTTCATTGTGTATTTATCAACTGATTTGCCAAAAGAGAGTTACAGTGACAAAGCATTGTATCTTTTGACGAGGTGAGGTTGAATCAAAGAGATGTATCTCTACGATTTCTTCTTTTTTTTCCTCACATCTCTCTCTCTCTCTCTCTCTCTCTCTCTCTTTAAAATTTGTCAACAAAAGAGAAACAAGCTTGCACATCTTAACGTTTAAAAAAATTCAATAGTGTTAAGAATATAAAAATATGCGGATTTTCATTGCCTTATTTGCATTTAAAGCATATATAAAATAATTATCAAATGGGATAATATGAATGTTCCTAAAAGTTTTATAATCCATTCGTGCTATAGTTTGAAACATTTGTTTTCTTTTCTAACATGTTATTGTGTTAATTTTAATATTGGTGAAAAAAAGAAAGCTTATTATGCAATATATAAAGCCATTTTTTACTTAGTAATAATTATAGAAATTAGTAAGTATCTTTGTGCAAAAGTTGCTAACAAGATGGAAAATTTGGTTGATATGTACTATTTATTAGAATTGTATAATTAATTAATTTGAAAAATCATCATTGATTTGGATGAAAAAAGTTAAGAATGAATGTCTTAGACAACTCGATAAAGCTTCAAACCTTTTTGATAATAGTATAGATTACTATTTAACTTGTGTACAAAAAATAATGTTAACTGTATTTGACTTGCATTTACATTATAGTAGCTATAGTTATGATTCTCTTAAACTGGTACAGTTAGGGGCTTATTGCTTCTCTCAAACCCAGTGCAACTAGTTTCACTGTCCACGTTGCTTTAATAAAATTAAAGTGCACGACCAGTAACCATTTAGGTGATGCAAAACTATGCGTCTAAAGATGCATCCTTTGCCAGTTCGGTGATCAGTTTACACTAGGCAGATAGTTTCGCCCTTCCTTTTTTCAACGGTCTGAAATAGACATCTCGGGCCTTGTGTCATCAGCTTGATAGTTATACAGTTTTGTATGATAATCATATATATTTGGATGAGAACAGGAAAAATGTAATTATTAAGAAGGAAGTTTGTTGACTTGCCTTGCATAGAATAGTACTATTTACTCTCATTTTATGATTCTCTATTTTTTTTTCCTGTTATGATTCTATTGCTAAATTCAGGTGCTATTGAGTTCTTTGGGAGGATGAACATAGGCCTTGACATTGGAGACTATCTTGGTAAGATTTAATTTTATATTTATGTTGATACAAATTTGTTATCTGTTAATGCTTGATATTACTTGCCATCCGCTAATTATCACTGACATCTATGCTTATGATTGCAGCTGTCGGGGCTATATTTTCTGCGACGGATTCCGTTTGCACTTTGCAGGTTCTTGAGATTTATGAAGCTGTCTTAATTGTTTAGCTTTATGAGGAAAAAACTCTATGTAAGCAACTTATTGCTTCTGCAGATTCTTAATCAAGATGAGACGCCTCTTCTTTATAGCTTGGTCTTTGGCGAAGGTGTTGTAAATGATGCCACATCAGTTGTGCTCTTCAATGCACTACAGAATTTTGATTTAGTGCACATTGATGCTTTAATCATATTGAAGTTCATTGGCAACTTCTTCTATTTGTTTTTGAGTAGCACTGTCCTTGGCGCAGTTGTATGTTCTTTTTTTTCTATTTGCTTCAGTTCGTCAAATGTATCTCCTTCATTTCCTTTTTACAAATTCCAATTATATTTTCTCATATGTAGACTGGATTGCTAAGTGCTTACGTCATCAAGACGTTATACTTTGGCAGGTTTGTGCAGCACTAACTATACCTTCTCTAGTATTTTTCTTATTGTATGCAGATACTATCGATAGCAGTACAATATGTTATATAATTTTCTGGCTTGCACAAGTTTTTCTTGTTCTGTAAAGTTTTACTGTTTTTTTGTTATTTTCTTTGGTATGTAATAAAGGCATCTATTGCTCATGGTCATGAAGTCATAAAGGTTATGCATGTATAGTTTATAGCTTATTTTCATATGCTTCCTGCAAATTTCAAAATTATATTATATCAAATTTTGAAAAAGAAAGCAGCTGGAAAAAAAAAACTTTGCTTCACAAAAATAGGACATATCACAAATTTGAGTTGTGTGGGAGCATGCATCAAAAAGCATTATTTTGGATATTCATATCCTCCACAGCTTGGTGGTTAAGGGAAAGCCCAACCACTTGCAGAGCAATGAAAAATCAATTTATTTATCTCTGATAGTAACAGCGACTATATTTTGCATCAAAAGCACAAACAGAGCTTTATCAAGTGTAGCTACTCTTGATTAGTTCAATAATTTGTAACACACTTGCTATGATATTATGGATTTTATCCATGATGTCACCCCTGACCAGAAAAAAATCAGGTGAGCTTCTACATTCTTGTTTTGACTGGCATATTTGTGATATTTTGTAAAATCATCGTTCAATTTATCTCTTTCAACATATTTTTAAATTCATTACAACTTATTATCTTTTAATTGCAGGCATTCTACTGATCGTGAAGTTGCGATTATGATGCTCTTGGCATATCTTTCGTACATGTTAGCTGAAGTAAGATTCATAACCTATTGCAAAGATTCAAGAAATTTCTGCAATTTTTTCTTCTTCTTTAAATGAGCATTTAGTAGAGGAAAACACTTTTTTTGTCTTGGCCCATATAAAACTTTCTAATTAAATCTTTTGTTGATGTTGCAGTTATTAAATCTTAGTGGCATTCTGACAGTATTCTTCTGTGGAATAGTGATGTCACATTATACGTGGCACAATGTAACTGAGAGTTCTAGAATAACTACCAAGTAAGTTGAACTTCAGAATTGCAATATTTTGTCTTAGAACCAATTTTGATGCATCTTTTAGTGATTTGATTGTATGAATTGTTTGTGATTATTTATTGCAGGCATGCTTTTGCAACATTGTCGTTTATTGCTGAGACTTTCCTCTTTCTTTATGTTGGAATGGATGTACTGGACATTGAGAAGTGGAAATTTGTCAGTTCCAGGTATGATCTATTTCATTTTTACCATGAATTCGCAATGGTTATGAACTGAAAAGATTAACTTCAATAAAATTCAATAGGATTTATCAATGTGATTTACAATTTTCGTTCCTTGAATTACTGATACTTTGGTATATGCTGATAAACTACTTGGAAATTTGTTTATTATGTGATTTCTATTACTACTCAAAATGAAGGGTAGTAATTGAATTGTGTCGAAGTATAGGATTACTGAAAGTTGTCCTGCCACAGTGCTTGGGAATTTATTTTGCATGTAGTTGTGCACTACGTAGAATGATTGCTTTTGTTATGGTAAAGGCCAAATGAATTTGTTCTGAATTTAGCTTGCTTGTGAAAGTAAAAGCTTTGTTATTGAGGCCTTATATGTTACAGGGGTACTAATTATCAGAAATATCATAGTTTCACCATTAACAGGATGATATGGTTTCTTAAACTGCCAAAGTATAATGTGGTATGCATAATATACCATTCATCCTTAATATAGTATCACGCTAACTAATTTATGAATCATTTATTAAAAGGGTTCCATATTTGACATTTTCTTTTTGACTGAAGTATCCTTTTTTCCCTTCACATTTGCAGCCCTGGAAAATCAATTGGTGTTAGCTCGATTATTCTTGGCTTGGTTTTGGTTGGAAGAGCTGCGTTTGTTTTCCCACTGTCTTTTCTTTCCAACTTAACTAAGAAGTCTCATAGTGAAAAGCTCTCTTTTAGGAAGCAAGTGAGTGGCTAGAATCCTTGGCCTTCTGCGTTGATGTTACCTTACGAATTGATAAAGAAATTTAAGCCTTCTTATTAACAGGTTATTATTTGGTGGGCTGGACTTATGAGAGGTGCCGTCTCCATTGCACTTGCCTATAATAAGGTGACACATTTTGACCTTTTTGAAACTCTCTAGATTTATGAAGCTTTCATTCTTTCTTTCGAACTAATCATTTTTTTATGTTTTAAAATATATATGTACAACTAGCTTTTGTCCTCAATGTCAGTATGTTTCACCCTTTCTCTTTAGGTAAATAAAACACTTCTTAAGACCAAGTTATTGTCCATGCAAATCTAATATAGTGTCATTTTCACTCTAAAGATCATGTTCAAATGAATGCTAATGCTTTTTCTACCGGGAAAAAAATCCTGGATCCCTCATTGACTAGTGATAAAGAAAGACAGATTGTAGGTACTTTGGCTGAAAAGAGTCAAGGTGAGTTCACAAATTAGACTCTGTGATGACACATTATTTAAAACATAAATAGCAAGGGATTGGGGCATGATTCTGATAGGGAACAAGTGCAGAAATTGAAGAACTAGGGGCTGAAATTAGAGATTTCAGCAAGATCAAGCAGGAATTTGAAGAAATCCCTTGGCAAATCAATAGGAAAACTCAATATTATATGAAAAGTGGAAGAAAACAAGCAAGCTACAATGGATCTTCAATTCGAGTGGAAGATCCGGCTCTCCCAATCTCTAGCCGACTCCTAGAGCCCAAACAAAACCTAGAGAACTCCTGAATTCACCAAACATCAACATAACCCTAACCCTAACTCTTCCCCCCAATTTAGATAATACAAAATAAATGCATAATTACTAAACAACCCTCCTTAAATTAATTTCCGTCATAAATCCTACCCCTCCTATTTGAAAATGGCTTTTAATTCATGGGCCCCACAAAGGGGTCTGTGGCTTCCTTGTTCGCCTGGCATAGACCAGGTGCCGACCTTAATTTAAGGCTAGCTAGACTGGTCTAACAATACCCCTTCCAAAGAACCGCCTTGTCCTTATGGTGGAAGGACATAAATTGATGCTTTATCATATGGCTCCGAAGTAGCATTGTACTCTTGTAGGTCTTTCCACTTAATCAGCACTTCCTTACTTCCTCCCTCCCCCTGTCGCGCACTCCTACCTAGTTCAGTGATTCCATAACCACCTTCAAATCCTTAGTTAGAGTTGCTGGTAACTCTGCAGTGGAGGTGTGATCCCCTATAGCTCTCCTCAACCATGACACGTGGAATACCGGGTGTATGGTCAGGATGGGAGGAAGCTTCAGTCGATACGTCACTGCTTTGATCCTCTCCACTATCTTGAAAGGGCCAAAGTGTTGTGGTGCCAGCTTCTCATTTCTTATACTCGCCATTGTTTCTGTCTGTATTGATGAACCGTCAAATACACTCTATACTCGGCCTCCAATTGAATGTCCTTCCTGTGCTCAACAGTCTGACTTTTTCAATGAAAAGACTAATATGTTACTTTGCCCAAAGTGCACCAAATGAGACGAATCTCTGTCTTGCAACACTTAGAAAGGGGTCATCTGGGATACTGAATGATACGAAGTGTTATACCAATACTCTGCCCACGCCAGCCACTTTGCCCACAACCGAGGTGTCTCTGAAAAAAGTATCGCAAATATGTTTCCATGCTCCTATTGACCACCTTCGTCTGCCATCTTTCTTAGGGTGGTAAGGGGTGCTCCTCTTTAGTACAGTCTCCTACAGCCTGACTAATTCCCTCCAAAAGTGACTGAGGAACACCTTGTCTCAATCAAATACTATTTATTATGGTATCTTATGTAATCTGTCCACCTCTCTAATGAAAGTTGATGCCACTATTATTTTCGTGTAAGGATGTTGTAGAGGAATGACATAAGCATATTTGCTTATTTTGTCTATTATCACTAGAATAACTTCCCTTCGATCGAGGTAGCCCATCTACGAAATCCATAGAGACATCTTCCCACTTTCTGTCTAGAAGTGCTAAAGGCTGTAGTAGCCTCCCTATAGCCATTGCCATATACTTGCTCCTTTGGCAAACCTCGCACCTAGCCACCATCGCCTCTACATCCTTGTGCATTCCCTTCGAATATAGTTTAGCAGCCAATCTTCTGTATGTCTTTTGTACACCCGAGTGACCCCCAGCATCGCTCTCGTGAAACTCTTGCAGCAAGTGTAGCATATGAATTGAGGTTGGTGGCAGCCCAAACCTCCCCTGGTATAGATGTCTCTCCCCATCTACTGAATAACCAGAATGGCTATTCTCATCTTTCAGCAGGTCCTCTCTGATCTTTCTCAGCTCCTTGTCCTGTGCATTTTCTTCCCTAATAACCCCCCCAATCCAACATCAGCAGTATCAAAATGGCTTTCTCTTGAAGCTCCCCCATTCATCTAGCCAATGCATATGCCACCTCATTTTCTAGCCTTAGCCAGTACTGGATTTCAAAATCATATCCCAGCAACTTGGACAACCACCTTTAATGCTCCTCAGTCACCATTCTCTTCTCTAGTAAGTAGTTCATGCTCCTATGGTCGGTCCTGAAGATGAAATGTCGACCCAGCAAGTACAGCCACCACTTCTGAATAGCCGATATAATGACCATCATCTCCCTCTCATAAACTAACTTCAGTTTGGCTCTAGCTGCCAACACTTGGCTAAAGTAGGCTATTGGTCTGTGATTTTGCATGAGCATTGCCCCAACCCATATCGTGAGGCATCTGTCTCTACCAAGAACATCTGGCTGAAATCGGGTAGTGTCAAGATCAAAACTGTGGTCATGGTGATCTTCAATCTCACAAAGGCTTGAGTAGCTGCCTCTCCCTAGAAGAAGTTGTCTTTCTTCTTTCGTGAAATGGAGGAGGTGGAGCTTTGTTTTGTAGAGGAAGTTGTGGTGGTTGTTATGGAGCCTTCAAGCATTTGAATTAGCTTTCTTTGGACATACTTTGCATGGAAGATCAGATATGACATGCTTTGTATGGACAAATCAACTATAAGCCATGGACATATTTAAGCAAATAGTTTGCATCTTAACTTTGATAAGGTTGATCACTTGATGTTGGTCATCAACTAACATTCCATTTTATTAATTACTATTAGAGTCAATTTTTTACAATCATTACATTGATAACTAAAATAATATGGGTTGAGAGATTGGGAAACAAACACAATATAAACACATCACATACTAGGGTTTGAATAGAAAAAAAATAAAACCTAGACCATATCAGTACGAATTTAATCACATATGGGAGGGAGATCTAGGGAATGATTGGTGAGGAAGAAACAACTAACATATATTAAATTAACAATAAATTACAAATTATAGTATATGCCACCAACTCTTCCATGATTGTGGGGATCACCAAAGTTGGATGGCTCCTTCCACCACCAAGTGGATAAATGAGAGATTCTAATTATTGGAAAGAGCTTTTTGACCAACTCATCTTTTTAATTCAATTTCTTCTATAATTATACATACAGTGACTTTCAAATGAGTAAGTGCAACATTAAATTAAAATTATAATATTTAAATTCAAACTGAAAAGTGGGGGTGGTTACAAGTAGCGGAGGTAGTCTTGCATGAAATGGAGCTTTGATTTGTGGAGGAAGTGGTGGTGATTGTTATGGAGCCTTCAAGCATTTGAATTAGCTTTCTTTGGACATACTTTGCATGGAAGATCAGATTTGGGCATGCTTTGTATGGACAAATCAACTATAAGCCATGGACATATTTATGCAAATAGTTTGTATCTTGACTTTGATAAAGTTGATCACTTAATGTTGGTCATCAATTACATTCCATTTTATTAATTACTATTAGAGTCAACTTTTTACAATCATTACATTGAAAAAATAATATGGGTTGAGAGATTGAGAAACAAACACAATATAAACACATCACATGCTAGGGTTTGAAGAGAAAAAAATAAAACCTATACCATATCACTGTTATTTCATTCTTGCATGGGAGGGAGATGAAGGGAATGATTGGTGAGGAAGAAACAACTAACATATATTAAATTAACAATAAATTACAAATTATAGTATATGCCACCAATGCTTACATGATTGTGGGGATCAGCATGCTTGGATGGCTTCCTTCCACCACCAAGTTGAGAGAAGAGAGATTCTAATTATTGGAAGGAACTTTTTAACCAAATCATTTTTTTAATTCAATTTCTTCTATAATTATACATACAATGATTTTCAAATGAGTACGTACAACATTAAATTAAATTATAATATTAAAATTCAAACTGAGAAGTGTGGGTGGCTACAAGTAGCTTAGGTAGTTTTGCATGAATTGGAGCTTTGATTTGTGGAGGAAGTTGTGGTGGTTGTTATGGAGCATTCAAGCATTTGAATTAGATTTCTTTGGACATACTTTTTGTGCGTGTTAACCCGCTGTATAAAACAAAAGAGAGAAAAAACAAAAAAAAAATTAAAATCAACGTACCTGCCATCCCACGCAGTCGCACGTCGTCGCCGCATTTCGCACGTCGACGTCCCCTCACGATCGCCCACGACCTCTTGTCGTTAAAGAGTCAAGGAAAAGAGGCTGAAGGCCTCTTACTCTCATCCCGACATCTCTCTCACTCTCGCTCTCGCTCTCTTCTCCCTGCTGGATCGTGCGAAAATCAGATTTGAACATGCTTTGTATGGGCAACTCAACTATAAGCCATGCGCATATTTATGCAAATAGTTTGCATGTTGACTTTGATAGGGTTGATCACTTGATGTTGGTCATCAACTAACATGCCATTTTATTAATTACTATTATAGTCAACTTTTTACGATCATTACATTGATAGCAAAAATAATCCAATGCATTTTGAAAATTAATCTTGAAATGTTATAATTCTCCACATGAGCTGTATTAATTTGATGATCATAACTCTGGTGAATGCTCGCATCTTTGGTCACAACCCTTCAATATTTAATGCTTGGTTTATGATTATCACACCTTTCGCAAATGCTTCTTCATGTGATCTTTGAATTTTGGCTCCTTATACTACATCCGTTCTTCATTTTAAGAACTTTGCTCATTTAGAGTTAAATTTTTATAACAAAATACATAAGTATTATTCATGTCAATTTTCCTTGCTCATGATGGACTAGATGTTTTGGAGGTGGTGAATTAGATATTAGATGATGCTGTTGGAGAAGGCTAGTAGAGAGGGTTTATTGAAAAAGGTAAGGGGTGGATTAGAATGGAGTTGATATTTTAAGTAGGTACTAAAGGTAAAAGTCTTTGTTCCTTTGAGGTTCTCATCAAAGTTCATAAAAAAGATCATAAAAAACTAACATTGAACTGTTGTGACCCCAACAAATAACCGCGAGATCCATCTATAACCTCACCATTAGATCGCTTGCAAAAGAAAGGTCACCAAACAAATTTTTAACCAAGTAATAGTCTTTAATACTAACATTGAAGCAGGGTGGAATGGCATGGTTGTGTAGCTGGCCATTGAAACACCTTAGAAGGGGATAAAATTGACTATGAATATAGTGGTTAGGTAGTGGTAAAGTAGGGTTAAATATGGAAGAGTGTGGAGTGATGGTGCGTAGAGTTACTTGGAGGTTAGGAAATCTAATTGCCCACCTCGATTTTAAGGAATTATTTTGTGTGTGTGTGTGGGGGGGGGGGCTTGGGTGTGGGGGGGGGGGGCTTGAGGGGATGTTTTGGGTTAGTACAAGAGGTGAAGATGTGATTTGGAGTTTGGTAGGAGATGATGGGGGTGTACAAGCTTGTATGTGGATTTTTGGGTTAAAATACGAGAGTTTTACTCAATGCCTTAGAAGAGGATGGAAGCCATTGCATGGGGCTTTGGCGATTGTGCTTGGGCTTTGAAAAATGAGTAAGGATGAGAGTGAAGTGGAAATAATATTAGCCAAATTCATTAAGAAAACAAGCATAATATAAACACTTCACAAATTGGGGTTTGAAGAGAACAATAGAAACTTATGATGCATCGCTTTAATTTTGCACATTGGGAGTGGGGGGTGTGAAACAAAAGAGCGCTTAATAGATTAACAAGGGAACACAATTCAGGGTCAGACACTATCTTCCATAGCCACGGAGGTCACCAAAACTTGTGGCTCTCTTCCACCACCCAGTGTATAGAGAAGACCTTCCAATTATTTGAAAGAGTTTATTTTCACCAAATCATCTTTTTTTATTCAATTTCTTCCATATTAATACATAATGTGATGTTCAAAACTTTGTGTACAACATTAAATTTAAAATTACAATATTAAAATGCAAACTAAATATGGCAGTTTCAAGTGGTGGGGACCATTAGGTTGAGGTGGTTATGGAGTTATCAAGCATTTAAAGTAACATTCTTTGGACGTCCTTCCATGGGGAGATCAGATCTCGACATGTTTTACATGGACAAATTAACTATAAGCCATGCTCATGCATATTTTGGTCATATTCAGTCAAATAGTTTGCATCTTGACTTTAATAGAACAAATATTTGATGTTGACCATCAACTTACATACTAATTACTAGCTACTATTAGATTCAACATATTACAATCATTATATTGTTCATAAAAATAATAAAAATTACCTACCACATTTTAGCTATTCTTTATGAAGTGTTGTAATTCCATCTCGTGTGCTACTTCAATTGGATGATCACATTATTTATGAATGCTCTCATCTTCCATCACATCCCTTGAATATTTGATACCTGATTTTGTGATCATGATTATCACATCTTTGATGAGTACTCTTTTATGTTTTATTTGAATTTTGGTTCCTTGTAGACAGGTTTGCTAGGCCAGTCAGAAACATGAATAAATACGGTACGACAAATGATCATAATTGACTAGAAAACAAATTTATACGAACATATGAAAGGAGTTCAGCGCTGTTGCTTGAAGACAATTAAGCATCATGAATCATGTAATCAAGATCCATCAATATGATTCATAAAAGATATATACGTGAATGCAAAATTTATCACAATTTTCTCTATCAAGAAATTAATGCTAGAATCATGTAATGCTATTGAAGATGATGATGCTGAATGGGAATGTTACCAATTTTTTTATTAATCTATATACTCATCAAAATATTTACTCACAGTCATGGCAAAGAAAAGCTATAGCGCACAAGAAAAAATATTTAACAATATTGAATAAGTTTTATAGCAAATGGCAAGGGAATGTTGTAACAAGGACGGAAAGTTGCTTCCAACACATAGTATGTAAGAGTTACCTACATCACGCTGCAATGCTTGGATCCAAAGATCCTTTCAAGTTCAATGCATTACAGACTTGGAAATGACCAGAACAAGCTATATATAAAATCTATGTCAAATATACATTTACATGCATGCATAATCCAATTAATAATGAGTAGTTAATGATAAGTGACTTTATTAGATATCTTCCAAATATGGAGAAACCCATTAATTCATTAAAACTTGCCTAGGGAATCTATTTTCTCCACATGAATTCAGCCTTTTTTTGCTACTCCAATTATCCTTATGCTAATCTTGATATGGAATATCAATTAACTTTGTTCTTATATATTTTTTATATTGGATATCCGGATATTACAAAGGATATTCAAAATGATAAGATAAAGTGACCGAAAAAAACAAGATTTCGATACATACAAAGGATGGTAAAATTTCACTCAATAAATAAGTTGATAAAATTAGTATCAGAAGATTAGAAAGAGAAATAGGCTAATATCTAAAGTTTTACAAATAGAAGCTATCCAAGATAATCTACCAAGATTAGGCTTAACACCTTTGACAAAACACAAAAAGTACCAATAAAAATTTAGAAATTTTAATGTTGACCCAAAATAGTTGGGATATGGCTGATGATGATGAGTTGTCTTATTGTATGCGTTTTGTAGATGATAGTTCTAGTCAGGGAGACATTCATTAAAATAAGTTAGAAATAAAAACAATTAAGAATATGTGGAAAGCTAGAACATTTAGAATTAATAAAGCAATGGCTCAATATATCTTATACATATTTAATTAGTGGTATTAACAATTATCTCTTAATATTATTAAAAGGCGGCGAAGTGATGCCAAGATATGATATCTTTAAGTATCATAGTTCCTTCGTATAGAAGAATACATATAACATGAGAAGTTAGCTTTCAGACTTCATTGATTAAAATAGAGAAATGTCTCAGAAGTATCATATAATAAGAATATAACCTGAAGATTTAAAAGATAAATTTGGAGTGTTGGGTAGTTAAAAGGTTATTGATATCTAAGTTTAGCATTACTCAAATGAGCATATTAACATGTGTGAAAAAAATTAGGAATGATTGTATTGACATTTTTTAAGAAAATGTGATCAAAAGTAGAATTGGGCTTTGAATATAAAGGGCACTAATTAGAGAAGTCTATAAAATTAGTGTTTGACCAACTCAAAACAGACTTCGCCATTGCCTTGGGATCCGTGCCAATCTCCTAGTGCAATTTTAATTGAACAAATTTATGGTCGTTTTTTGTTATTGACGGCGCTCAACGGCGAAGCCCGTTGTGCGATCGGACACGTTTGGGCAACGTCGCGCATTAATTTCAAGTATCGGTTGTCCGTTTTGATTGATCTCGCCCGATTTGACTGCAAGGGGTTCCCTCTTAGGCGGATTCGGCACTCTGATTGCAACGACAATCCGTTCAGCAATCGGAGGTTGTTTGACCCTTGAAGTGACACGTCCAACGTCAATTTCGCCCTGTTTTGTGTGCTTTTGCGTATAGGGGTCAACAAAGACATAACAATGCAGCTTTAAATCTGATATGGAACTGAGATAATACCTTATATATTATTTTACAAATTAAAAAGCAATACAACATGAATTTGATGAATTTTCATATTGATTTTCACATGTATTAAGTAAACTTAAAAAGTAATTCACGTTCCCACCTCTCCCTATAAATAATAATCATGCTCTCTCTAATCCGTTTTTTTATTAGTTTTCCTGTAGTCATTTAGACATTATACTAATAGATTCAGTGACAAATTTTGCTGTACATATATTTTGCAGTTTACAAGTTCTGGCCACACTCAACTCTCCGGCAATGCAATCATGATTACTAGTACCATCACAGTTGTTCTTTTTAGTACAGTGGTAAGTTACTTTATAGTTTAATCTCCTCGGTATCAAACAGATACTGTCACCTGCGGTTGCTTATTATTTATTTCTCATCTGTCTGTCATCATAAATCCCGAACCTACACATGCTTCTACTCCTTTGAGGCTATTAATTTGTTCTTGCCTAACACAATTATTAGGTTAACGGTGCGTCTTTGGACGTCCAGTGAAATGTACACTCAGGCTTCGTTTGGGACGGCTTTCTTACTGCTTTTTAAAGCAGTTTTCTAATAAAAAATTTTAATTTATATACTAAAAAGTTGTTTTAGGAAGCAGTAAGAAAATCGTCCCAAATGAAACCTCAGTTTTCAGTCAAACTTAGGCACCAATAAGAGATGGTGGCAAGGCAATTATCAATTCCTAAATGAAATTTTTTCTGATTTTGTCTACTGGCATCATGCCTCAGGTCTTTGGTTTGATGACAAAACCACTAATAAGGCTCTTACTGCCTTCATCTCATAAGCCACTAGGCAGTACTTGCTCTGATGAGCCCACAACTCCTGTATCCTTGTTCTCCTCTCTCCTTGAGAACTCCTCACTCCTCGAGAACGGTCGGGGAGTTGATGAGCAACCCATTCACCGTCCAACAAGCCTCCGAATGCTTCTCTTGAAGCCTACACACACTGTGCATTACTACTGGCGTAAGTTCGATGACAGCTTCATGCGTCCAGTGTTTGGCGGCCGGGGATTCGTTCCGTTTGTCCCTGGTTCCCCTACTGAAAGAGATGGCCATGGAGAAGGGTGAAAGATGAATATCTTGAAGAAGAAAAGAATCTTATTTTCCAATAAACAAACACCTTTCCCCCTCGAATGGTTTTTTATGGGCTACAGATTGTATATGGATGATGCAGTGATGGCTTGACTTGTGCTGGTTTGTGGTTGCGATGGGTCACTAGGCTTTTTCATGCTTCCAACAGTGTAACTTATGTGGGTTTATGTAATATTTCATTTCATTTTTGGTTTGTGCAGGTCTCTTAAGATTTATATATATATATATTTTGATTGTTGAAGTTTTGCTGAAAGGGTTGTGTACAATATGGAGCTGTTGATTATTTTTCTATTTTTTTCAGCGTGTTTTGTAGGAGTTTGTGTGAGTGTATATGTATACAACTGGAATAATTGAAATCATAAGATAGCTTTCAGCTTCAATCTATCCCATTCTGTTTGTTTTTTCCTTAAAATTTAGTGTATATGTATACAACTCATTCATGCAGCTCAACTTGGTCTGTTGATTGAGAGTTTTTGCTGCCAACTAAAAAGTCTTAGATTCGAGTCTTGCATGGATGATGTGTGTATTAGTTTGTCTTAATAGGCTTAAATGTCCCAAAAAAATTGCGAAAATTAATTACCCAAGTAATTTGCAACTAGCTTTTAGCAAATTTTGCTTTAACTCTTTTCGTCTTTTGGCGCAATTTTACTTCATGATGGATTGCAGAGTTTTTATTAAGTGTTGTAGAGATGAGGGTACTCAGGTGGATGAGTGGCTTTAATTTTAGAGACAAAATACGAAATGAGCATATACGTGAGAAGTTTGGAGTAGCTCCAGTGGAAGATAAAAGATTAAAGACAATCGTCTTAGATGATTTGGTCATATAAAACGGCGGCCTTCCGATGAACCGGTTAGGTAAGTAGAGTTATTAGATTTGAATTATGTTAAGAAATGTAAAGGTAGATCTAAAAAGACTTGGTTATAAAATATTAGAAATGACTTTTTTCTTATTAGATTTAGTCTTAATATGACATAATGGAGAAAAAATGGATTCATTTAGCCGACCCCACATAGTGGGATAAAGGGTTGTTGTTGTTGTTGTTGATGATGATGAATTTTAGAGTTTTTGATTTCTGCTGACATTAAGGTTTCGTTTGGGACGGCTTTCTAGTATAAAATTTAAAATTTTTGTACTGGAAAGCCGCTTTAAGAAGCAGGAAGACAGCCGTCCCAAACAAAGCCTAATTTTCTTTTATGATACCATGAGCTGTATCATTTTTTATCCCAAATCGAAGAGCTTTTAAGTCTATAATAATATCAACAAAAATTCAAGAGCTTTTTACTCCATCATAATGTAATTTGTCTCGGTATTATTTTTTGGAAGCAAAGTCAGCTACTATAATATTGATAAGGTTAGCTACTCTGGACTTGTTAAGCACTTGAAGGTGATCTTGAATTTAGTTTTTTTAACCAATTTATCTTATTTTCAACGTTCTCTTCATTTCTGCATGTGATAGCTTGGAATATGTTCTGTAATTGCTTTCAAAATAATTTCTTGACTTTTGAAGTGCATGACATTGACTTCTTTTGATTCCCTACTATAATAAATATAATATTATTGCAATTTAGTTTTGCTTATTTTGCTTTTCTTTTTGTTTTCATTGAGGGAACTATACACAAAGCATCTATTAAAAAAATGAAGAAATTATTTGTGGACAGTTTCAAGGATAACTTATTTTTATACTCATCTTGCTGTACATGTACTAACAAATCAAAATTTAGATAGTTTTGTCTAAAACTGTTAGATATAATCTTGTATTCTTTTCTCTTTTAGTACCATAATGACATGTTTATATAGAGAATTTTGTTAATGAAGTACTTATATTTCATTGAAAAAGTATATCAAATCTTTTTTGACTTGATACTATAAGATTTTAATCGAACAATGCAAAAGAATAAAGCATTTGTTGAATGAACTATTGTTTCCAAGAATAATCTTTGAGCTGATTCAATTAATCCTACTATACATAGAGATTGTACAATTCAATTCAACATAACTCAAATTACAGTTATTTTTTTTAGATTGAACTAATTAGATAGTAAGAATCACCTTTATATTGTATGATAATATTATTAAAAATAAATTTTGGATTTGCTTTAAATAGTTCATTTTGATTCTATTAATCTAAGAGTGAGTGAGACAATAGATTCATTAGAGACATTTTTATTAAGAGGGTCCTTGGAGATTATGTGTTGGTTCTCTTTCTTTGTGAGAGCTTATATAAACAACTTGAGAAGAGAGGGTAAAGTTGAGAGAAGGGTCCTTGGGGAGTCGAGGGTTGTGTGATGGAGATCATACGGCTGACTGTTTCAACATGCGCCTTTGTCATCTAGTGTTTGTGTTCGGAGCTCTAGAGAGAGCCTTTGTGTGGGCAAATTATGACTAGCCGAGGAGCGACATCTCCACATTGAGAGGAACAGATGGAGGGTGAATGCATCTCCACCGTACTGGGAAGCAAAAGGAGGGAGCCTATGTTTTCCGGGGAAGGAAGAGCTTGTACAGGTCATTCTCCTCTTGGGAATATGGAAGGGCTTTTTCGCTTTGCTGAGTGATGAATGAGTATTTTCTAGTAGAATTCTAAAGGAGGAACTTGGGGAGTAGGCAATGGTCAAGTTGACTGAACCAATATAAAAATTCTAATTTATATTTCTTTACTTTATACACTCTTTACTTCCTACATTTTTGATTGATTAGATCTATATTTAGAGTTGTTGTGGTTGCATATAAAAAATGTTTCAAAAATGATTCTTTAGAATAACTTTCTACAAAAAAAAAAAAAAAAAAAAAAAAAAAAAAAAGTTTGATCTTTCCTTTATATATATATATACATATCCTTTAAGTCTTAAAGTTTTTCTAGTGCATTTCAAATTACTTACACTACATATTGTGTTGTTTTACAATAAATTTTAAATAACCAATTCAACTCGTCTCTTGGTTGTGCCAAGTCACTTTCAACTGGTATCAGAGTTGGGCGCTTCTTGTTTATTTGGTTTAATCACCTCAAGTATGTTCTAGCATGATACAAGTATAAAATATAAACATTATGGATGGGTACTCCATTACCTGACTACCTCTATTTAATAATATACATTTTAGTTTTTAAAAATCTTAAAAGTCAACAGTTTTAGAGTCTATTGACTTTAGGATGTGGAACTTAGTGATGGAAGGATACACACAAACATATAGAATAGATAATAGAATCAAAGTTAAACTTCCATTTACTAAATGGAGTTTTAAGAATAAAGAACTAACACAGTAGAATGCCAAATTCTCAAATTATTTTTTCTGTGCATTGAAAGCTGAAGATGTTTGACTGAAAAGTGTTTAAGTTGGAGTTTGAAAAAATTAATTTTCTTTGGGAGAGTTGAATTTATTGAATTTCAATCTTGAAATGGAACACATAATTATTAATAATATATTATCCCGAGAGACAAAATATTGTTCCCTAATGGGTTCAATTTACAGGATTGAAAGTTTATTCTGATTATCATAGTCAAATTCGGGAAAGAATTATATATGACCCCAGAGTGTCAAAATGATCGTTCAATCAAACATTTAACTACGATAATTTGAATAAATATTATTAATTTTATAAAATTTTATAATCAAAGTTACGATAATAATTGATATATCTTTCCAAGGAAAGAAGATATAAATCATTATTGATCATTTGAAAATGATGATAATGAACTTTTATTTTAACTTTAATTTTCCCAAAGAAAATTAGTTAAGTTTTGAAAATATTGAATTTGAAAAATTAATCTGGGTTTCTAAATCTCCTATGAGTGTAAGCCCTCGTAGTTTATTATATCGTAGGAAATAGAAATTTCCTATGAATACTCTTGATTAAAACAGCCGTAGAAGTTTTATTTAAGACTTCAAGGCTTAATATCAAAGGAGATAAGGATTGAAAATTCAACAGGGAATGAATCAAAAGTGAGCATTTATTTCTAAAGGTCAAGGAAGAAAAGGTAGGAGGTGCTTTGGGATTCTAAAATATTTCAGAAGCACCACAGTCTATCCTTAGTGTTAGGCTTGAATTTGATATAAAAGAAATTTTAGTTTAAATTATTAATTTTATTAAAAAGTTGGGATTGTATCCCCAGAGGTTGACGTCTTATAATCTAAGCTTGCCTTGGAACCTAAAGACTAAATTGGGTACTCAAAATCAGTGACCCGAACATAGCTAATGTAATGCAAATCTGGACTTACCCTGGCCTGAATTGGGGAGCCAGCTAACCTCCTAAACGCTTAAAATTCATGAGTCCAGTCTTTTATGCAAGAGTGGTAGGAATGTTTAATTAAGATTTGAAGAGTTCATGACAACATTTGGAGCTAATCTTAATTGGCCCCTTGACTTATATTGGGTTAATTTATGCTTAAATTAAATGCAATTATATTTTTAGACACTTTTAAGTTTATATATAATGCAATGCATATTAATTGACTCAATAAATACTTAAATCAAAATGTAGTTTTAAAAAAGGCTAAAAATAGATTTTTTTTTTCTCTAGAGATTGTGCAGTTCCCCCTTGATAGATTTGCACCCTCATAGGTCATGTGGTCTACAAAAACCCGTAGGCGGTGAGGTGCCTTACAAAGGAAAGAATGCACAACAAAATGTTATGCAAACTCCCGGCGATCCTAGACTTACTTCTTAAAAGTATTAGGATATTTATGTGAGCTTAAAAATGTTTAAATTTAATTTAAGTAGAAAAAAAATTTTAACGATCCCTCACGAGCCTCCGATCAGGTTCCAGCCTAAATCAAATACGATGTGCAATATCATAAAAAAACAAAGAAAAATAGGCAAATCCTAATTATAGGCAAAGCACATCAACCAATAATTAAATTAATATTTAAATTAAAAGTTTGTGTGGCAAGTGTCATTTAATATTATAACCTAAGGGAAACAAAAAGTAAGGTGGTCGTGTACTACTGATAACAACCTGGATTTTATTTTTAAGACTCAAGTGAATTTATGAATGGGATTCTTCTCAATCTTCATTTCTTTATCCTTCTACAAGCTTCTTGGATCCATCGAGTCTAGATATCCAAATGAAAAGGAACTCCCCCTTGAAAGGGGTATTTTCTTTTCTCTTTGGATATTTTAAAGTTATCCAAATTTGGATCTCCAAATGGATAAGAAATCTCCCCTCGGGAATATTCTTTCCTTTTTAGATTCCAAATTGGATTTTCATCCCATCTCAAATCACTTTAATATTACAACTCAATTGAAATTAAATTACATTGAATAAAATTAAAAATCTAGACTCAAACAACCTATAGGATTATTCTAAACAGTTAATATTAAATCATCCAAAGTAGTTATATATTAAAATTAAAATACTCAAACCAGCTACACTTGGTCATGCTCTTTTAA